GCGTCCCGTGGCGCGCGCGAGGTCGCCGTCGGGGGTTTCCCGTGGGGTTTCCCCGCGCGGCTTGGCGTGTTGTGGGTTCGAAGAAAGGCAGTGGGGTCGGGGTGTGGTATTTTTTCGATGTTTTGTGGTAGGTGGGTTGGATCCTGACTCCGCGTGAGCTCCATTTCGCTGGGGGAATGCGACCAGATGGACCCGACCACTCTTCTTGGTTCTGGCGGCCTGGCTCTAGATGTTTTTGCTTTTTCACCCTGAAGCCACAGAACAGGAACCCAAACAATCAGAAACAAATTAGAAACACATGATTGTTCCAATACAGCAACACAGATCCTTTACATCGCAAGTGTTTCCTTGGGGAGATTAATCATTATATCCATTTGTTTTAACATGTTGTAACTTCAACAGTCACTTCGGCAATTGCTTGGTCACCACCCTCGCATGGTGGCTCCAAAACTTGCTTGGCGATCAAAAGAACCAGGTTTTTCTCGTTGCCCAGGTTCCAACCGGTTACTACAAACCTTTCTGAAAGCAATTCCTGGGCTTTCGAAAACAATTCTCCCCCAGCTGCTTGAGGTGTTGTGAATGAACACCCGAGGAAGTGGTGCAAGCTGACAAGTCCTGCAAATTAGAAGCATGTAGGGCCTGAGAGTAGACTCCTGGCACACACAGATTCGAATCCTGATGTCATCCCATGAATTTTACTGAAAGCCAATTCCAAGGCCGAAAGACAAACAGCTGAAATTTGTCAGAAAAACATTTTCGAACTAACCAGCCAGTTTGTTGGTCTGGATTGGTGGCTAAATTGGGTAGCCAGCAGCGCCAAAACAGCGCCCTTTCATGCCTTTTCCCCGTTGCTCGCACGTTGCATGCACGAACAACATACAATTGTATGGTGCGTGGGTGAACAATTAGGGCGGCTCAGGCACCACCCGCACGCTTTTTCGCTCCACCTACAAACCCTATACGTTCCTGTCCCACCTCCCGAAAAAGAAGACAGGGATAGACCTTCGGTTTTTTCTGGTGACCCAGGAGCCATCTCTTTTTCGCTGTCAGGGCTTGATCTATGTGAGCATGTCAGATCTCCAGGGTGGCCTTGAGGTGGGGCTCGCCGCTTTCCGGACTCCCTCCCTGCTTCCGCTCCGTCAAATGCTAAAAGGGGGCGTGGGAGGGAAGGCGTGTGTTTTTAAAAGCAAACAGGACGCTGCTAGGAGCAAAGGGCATCGCTACTAGGAACAAAGGGCATCGTTCGCCAAAAGCAAACATCTCCACCCAGACTGGTCAGCTGAGGCCCGGTGCTCGGCCCCGGTGCTCGCCATTGAACCCACGTTCCCCGGTGCTCACCGGTGTTTTCCAGAAATCGGAGACGGTGAAGCGGGCGGGTAGCAGCTCCATCCATGGACAGGGGTGCCGGTTCCGAACGTAAGGAGCGAGGTTCCGGTGCCCCTGTCACATCGCATGCACGACCACTGGGTCTGTAGAAGCACCCAGACATGATGGAACTGGTATATTAGACGTCTTCTTGGGCACTTCTGAGTAAGCTTAGCCCTATAGAAGTCAAAAGACTGTATTTTGCCCCAGTGATGTAAAGGATGTTCCCTTTCGGGTACCCTAATCAGACTATTCTTTTCATAGTCTTTGACTCTCAGGTTAGGGAAGTGTTCAGCGCCTCATTCGAATCGATCCCTTCGATGAATTATCCGCTGAAGCCTTCTGAACACATCGCTAGGCATTGACGGTGGGAAGCCTTTGCTGCTTGGTACAGATGTCGCCACGACGTTTTCCTCAACAACCAGGGAAGGTGCCATGTTGATGTTTGTTCGGATGAAGATCCCTGACAGATCTGTATAGTACTCAAAGTTTTGGAATTTGCACTCTGGTGCTGTTGCAATCTGCTCCGGAGGGAAGCTTTTCCGACAGCGTGTGAGTTGGAGATTTTCATCGGGAGCAGCACTGGGAGCGGCGAATTGCTGGAGACCCTAGGGCTCCAACCTGCGGAATCAGTGATTTCCTTCCAACAGAATATCTCAGAAGGCCGGAAGGTTAGATCCTCCTGGCACTCGCCCCAACCACCGAACCTAGGTCTGGAGCTGAATATACACCTGGACTCACCAACATGGAAGTTGAAATCCTCCAGTTTGTTTGGAACAGCAGTGGCTGTGGGTCAAAACCAGGTAGCGAATGACCTTTCAGGTAGGTCCTGCCCAAGGTAAGGCAAGGTATCCCGGTTTTGAACCCACAGCCATATTGGTGGCCGCCTAAATCCGCGTAAAGCAGCCCATTGGAAGTGACGTTTTTGACCTCGTCGTGAGATATTTTTCTGCAAGAGAAGTCGAAGGAGTCCAGTGCAACACAAACAAGAAAACACGCACCACATACCAGGACACCCTAAGGGGTGTCTATTGATAGCCCCTTAGAGGCTAAGGGGTGTCCATTAACCACCCCTTGCCAATTCATCTAATTTATACAGTGTGAAGGACCCTTCTTTTCACCAAACACGAACAACCAGAAAGTAAATGCTTGTTGTACTAGTACTGAGGCAGGAACTCTTGATCCTTTTTCATCCAAACGTGTTTTCTTTTTATCTTTTGCCGGATCCAACACCACGGCTCGCATCGATACGCCCGGAAACCAACACGGCGCCAGGACCTCTGCCGTCCCGACCTCCCTTGGGCCGTCCGTTGGGGCGTCCGTTTGGGCCGTCCGGTTGAGCCGCCCGAGGTCAGTTCCACGTCTTCTGCGACGCCAGTGGCCTGGGAGCCGAAGAGGTCATCGGCTCCTAAGACGCCCGCGAGGCACGGCGCGTACGGCACGGCGGTAACGGCGGTAACGGCGGAGAGAGGTGTCCAGGACGTGGACCATGGGCCTACTGCACGGGGGGGGGGGATGGTTTGTGAAATGCTTGGAGGGTCAATGTAGGTCAAGATTCCAGTGGTCATCAATTATTGGGTGTTGTTAATTGGTTGATTTAGAGAGGGGAGACCCCCTATACCGTGTAGCACAGGAAAAAAATGGCATGGCACTCGTAAGTGGTGAGTCCCTGGCACTCACCTCTCTATTCTTTGGACTCGGATCATTGCGTGGACCTGGAGTTGTGTTGAAGCTGGCGATGGCGAAATACGCAAAAAGGGTACCTGGTTCTTCCAAGTGACCGAACTTGATTACCTGGTTGGTTCGGTCACTCGTTCGCCTCGTTCAGGGTCACGACAGGCGGAACCTTCCAAACGGTCACGAACGAAAGAAGAAGCTGGTAGATGGATGAGGGCTTCATGCATCGAAGTCTGCCACCTTGGAACCCTTGGAACCATGGGACCATTTTTGGTGCATGAATAAAACATGTTTTTCTTGAGAGGTCCTTTTCTTGAAGGACTGGACTTCTCATTCTTAGGGTGCAGCATGTATCACGTCTGGGTGGAAGTGGTGGACGTCGTCTCGCCTTTTCCAAATCCATCATGCTGGAAGTGGAGTTTGAAGACGTCCCAGCACCACCACGATCTGAAAGACTCGTTGGATGGAATGAAAGCGGGTCCTCCAAGTCGAACGCGGGGGCCAAGTAATCCCATCCAACCCGGACATCCAAAGACAGTTCTGGCACCACCCAGCCAAGTAATCAAGAGACATTCATTTTCGGATCACCTAAAGGCCATTAAAATAGTATTGGACTCCCAAACAGGAGTGTATGTCTGCCACTGTCAATGACAGGGCGTCCTGCCCCTCGGTTCGTCCTCTTGTGAGGTGACCGCGCACCGGAGCTGCATGCGATGGTGGGCTGTGGAAAAAAGCGCTTCTTTGGATGGACAGCTTCGAAGGGAGCTCTATTTTTTGGTGCAGACCTCAGAGGTACAGGATTTGGGGCAGAAAGGGTTACACTACGGACGGACCTGTCAAGATCTCATTTTCTTTTCCCATTCATTGCTAGAAAGAGAGTTTTCCTGTGGTATCATATGCCACCTGTGCAGTGTAGCTTCTTTGAGGTACCAAGTGGCTGGGTCTCATGTGGGCCCTGGACGGTGGAACAGCACCACAGCTTTTAGGTGATTCTGCTTGGCGAAAGGGATGGTTGAAGGGTGAAGCATGTAGAAAGCTCTTGTGGCGACCCCCCAAGGAGCTCGGGGAAGCCCAAAACTCTCCCACTGCACTACCATCCTGGCAAAAACAGAGGAGCCTCTATTGCTCAGTGTTCTCATGCCTGGTAGAAGTGAAGCTTGTTGACTTTCGTCAACGGGAGGAGTTCGTCAACTTTTGCAACAACGACGCCCGTCCATTGTGCTGAGAAAGGGGGCCCATAGGGTGCTGATGGCAATTTCGGGGCATGGATCACCTGTATTCCTTTGATGACATCTCCGCTTTGGACGTTGCCACATCGATGGTGAAGCATGGAAAAGACCGCACCTGACAACTGTAAGATCCGATTTTTATTGGCTCACATTGCAGATTTGCAGATTTGATGTGTCTAGTAGACTACTGGTCCTGGTTGCAATTGACCTAGGTCCTGGTTCACCTGGTTGTTCCTTTAGTGCAGTGGTGAAGGATTCTTGAGAATATTTTCCCCCACGCCCACGCCCGGGCTCCGAGCTCCTTTTCCTCCATTCGTCTGCGCAGCCTTTGGGCTCCGAGCCGCGCATCCAAGAAGGTCGGTACGAGATGAGCTTGGCTTCGCCATTGGAGGAATCCATATCGGCCAACTTTATCACAAGAGCGTACAAAAGGCCAGATGCCTGGTCTAAGCATCAATTCCATATGATCCTGCCGCAGCAAGACTCACCTCTAGAAGGGATTTCCACCCTCGTGCCCAGTCCCTGGATGTGGGCCCTCTACACCAACGATTCGAAGATCTTCACCAAGTTCACCCAGTTCAAGCAATGATCTAATCTCATGTTTTCGTTGGATCACCCACACTTTTGGGATCACACTTCCCAAAAAGGTAGTCCTTTTTTGGACCGTTGACCGTTTGGAGAGCAAAACACAAGACATCGGACCCGATCCCAAACCGCCGCCTGGATCCCATGGAGGTGAGGTGTCCACGGTCGACCGGTGCGACGGGTTTGGAGACGGGTTTACGAGGAACCGAAGGGGGGAGAGCGCTGGGGAGAGCGCCTTTTTTCTCCTCTCCACGTGATGTCGATGTTCGGGTGTGGGGGACGGTGGGATGAACACACCCACTTAAAAAAAAATAACATCCAGGAGTCACAAAGGGGTGGTGTTTAGTCTCCAAGTGAGTGGATAATGGGCACTCCTAACCTCCATTAAGCACCCCTTTGTGACTGCTGGATGAAACACTGAGACCCGACTTCGTTATATAGTACCCGAAGACAAGGGTTTCGTTCGACCCAGCCTCGTTCACAAGGGTTTCGTGCGAGCGCTGAACGTTGGACCGGTGCAGGAAGAAATCTACTGCCTAGAGAATCCTTGGACCTTCCATAGCAGGGTTTTGGATCTGAACATCCCTTTCATTGGGATCTGGACCCTGAAAGCCATTTCCATTCATACCCTGTCAGTGGATATCCTTGAAGCTTTTTTTGGGAGTGGTTTCCCCACAACAGGTAGAAAAAGGTGAACCTTAATTTTCCACTAAAAATGAAGGAGTGAGTCAGCATTGAAACAGTTTGAGGTCCGGATGTGGTTGGGTTCCAGAGGTCTTTTTCCTCGAAAACCAATCCCCACCGGGTTTGGTGCCGCATGGTCGAAGCTATAGAATGTGTCCCGTTATTAGCAACAGTTGGTCAAAGAGGATCACCACCTTTTTCTAAGAAACATCCGTTACTTTTGCTGACAAAAGACCCTCCCAAGGTTTTTCCGGATCGTCAGTATTAGAAGATGTCGTCCAAGAATTCCGTGTCCGGAGCCCGCCATTGGACGGTCCCAGAAATCTGGATCCAATCCTCAGAAGTCGACGACGTGCAGACGACGTGCCGACGGGCCGTCTGCTCTTCATCGTCGTGCCTATCCAGGGCTCGTGACCCCATTTTTTGGCGAAGCTGGGGAGGCTGCAAAATGTCGTAGAAACAAAACACTGGAGTCAAGACATTGGTCACATTGGCATTCTTCTATGTGATAAACACATTGTTTGAGGCCCCATATTGGTGTAGCTCACATCTAGCATGACCAGCATGTCCCGTTTGAGCATTTTATAGTGTCCCTCTGAACTCTCCATTCATTTTCGCACTATTTTATTACGCCTTAGGCCACTTTGGATTTGAGCGACACGTGTTGATAGGGTGTATCTCGCTTCATTTCGACGACTCTTTCGTGCTGCCACCGTGGCATTTTCAGCTTCGACGTGAAACAGAAAGCTGCGCCTCCGTAACACACGGAGGGTCACGCAGAGCATGGCTACTGCACAGACGATCAGTAATGAGGTGGTCAAGATCCTGACTTGAAAATTAGATCGATCGAGGTCAGCTAAGACCTGGACCCTCTGGGGGACCCTCTGGGTAACCCTGGGCTCGGTGGACGTCTCTTGAAAACTGTGCATGATGCAGCCTGAAGGCATTTCTGTTCCGTGTTCTCACTGTTTTCTCATGCTCAGACTGGAGCGACTCGTAGGCAATGAGGGAATGAGCCTCCCGTAGAGATTCCTTTGGATCCAGCCACCCTCATTCCTTACAAGCCACATCAGTGTGCTTCGCCAACTGTTTTCCTGCCGCGCAACCATCGCGGTCACCGTATCACGCACCACCTGCGGGATGGGCGATGGACGGATTCGGATGGATGTAGAGGAAGCAGCTACTCCTTGGACTCGGTGGAATCAAAAACAAAAACATCAAACACATTCTAATACCAGGACCTTCCTTCTGAGGTGTCTATACATAGCCCATAGCCTCTTGGAGGTTAAGACAAGAGGCGTCCAAGAACCACCGGACTTGGAAGGTGGGTAGTGATGGCCTCCGCCACGCCCTTCGCATTGTAACCGGACAATGCTTGAACCCCTTAGGACTGGCGCTTGGACCCCTTAGGACTCATGTCATCCCATGGACCTGTTTCGTCTTACCCCCAAGACACGACCCGTGGACCTGCAGGGACCGTCGGGTCCGGTTCCGGTGGCCACAGTGAATACACTCCCTGGAAATGGATTGGATGGAGCATGGCCCCGACAGGAAGACCATGAAATCCACGACAAACAGGTGGTGCCATCCACTTCCATGTTAGAGTTTTTGGGAGTGTACATGTATTTTGGGAATAACTTTGAATAGTTAGTTGCTGCAACTGTGTCCTTTTTGTGTGGGATCACATCCGTCTGGGCACTCTTCATCTGGCGTGGGCATTCTTCCTTTTTCGTCATTCCCCAAATATGGGGAGGTGGGTGACGAGGTGTCACCAGTGGCACAGACGGTTTCAGAGTCATGCAGACTCTCTTGATTTATAACACCTGTAGACTCTTTGATGATATGCCACCCCCAAGTCTCAAGAGGTTTTACAATCCAACTAGGGTGTTTTTATACATGGCTACAATTAGGTGGTGCCATTCTGTTTGACCCTTCTTGGATGCCGAACTGTTTGCCCCAACATCGCTCGCCGTCGCGGTCGCACTTCCGTGGCGGTCATTCGTGGGTGTGGTCATTCTTGCTCAACCTAGTGACAGATGGGACATGCTGAGTCTTCCAGATTCCAGATTTTTTTAAAACACATATCACAGTTTTCGCAAGACTCAGCATGGGAAGCTTTTCAAATCTCCAAAGCTTTTTCCGGAGATGTGGGAGCTTTCGAAAGGCAACCTCCACCGTTGGGCTCCTGCGGAGCCTGCAAACCATGTCTCTTTTTTCACGCCGTGTCCGGCGCAGCCGGACACCATGTGGATGTGCCAATCCTCCAGAGTCGTGGTCGGTCCTTCCGTGAGAGTCTTAGAGCTTGGGGCATGTTTGTGGTACCAAAGGAGAGAGTGAGGGTCAAAACGAAGGTAGATTGCATCAGCACCAAGCCGACCGTATGCGGAAAGAAAGCTTGATCCAGAGGCTGCTTGAGCGATGTGGAACCCAAGGGAACCGGATGTGCTTCGGTCAGACAACCGACCACCGACGACCCGTCTCTGCTTCGCCGGGTCGGTTGACTCGGTCTCTGACCTCTTGGCATCCCGTTCGTCGTAGCATTCCCAGGATGGAGTTCTCCTCCACAGATGAAGAGTCTGGCGAAGGACCCGGGACACCGTGGGCGTTCACGGATCGGAGAATGGGGGGCGTTCTGCGTTCCGGGGGGCGGGATCGACGATCGACCCAGAGGAAGTGCTGGGGTGCGGTGCGACGGCTCGGCTCCAACGTGATCTTCACGGACTGTGTGGTGGGAGGTGAATGGACCGAACAAACGAGTCTTTAGGTATCTTGAGGTGACCCGACTGGAGGAATTTCCGAGGAATTACTTCAGGTGATGCAAAGTACAGCCTTTGGACATCCTAGCTATACATTTTTTTGGCGTGGGGAGGGATGTATAATAACCTAGACCCCGCAAAAGATGTATTTTTTTCTGGTGAGGGCAATTTTCAGGCGAAGCTCAAAAACTCACACAACAAACAGTTTTGGTGTCGATTTTTGTTACTTCTGCGTTGTTTTTTGTCACTTCTGCGTCATTTTGGCGTCATGTTTTCTATCGCGAATTTGCTGCATGTTTCTGCGTCATGTTTTCTGGCGAGACGGAAAAAAAGACATCGTTTCAGGGTCCAGGAATATAATATGGAAGGTCAATAATGTTGATGAGAAACACGGCTGCAGTGCAAATGTTTACACTTGTTGCGATGCGAGGTGCAATTTGTTTGGTCGATGGCCTTTCCAGCTGCCCCATTGTTTGAGAACCCAGCTGGTGTCGGGCACATGAACACGAGCTAGTGGACAATGCTCTTCTGCAGCACCTTCCGTGTACCATATGCTTGGTTTCTGGCGTCTAACATCGGTTCCTCGGGTGAATCCCCAGCCACCTGGGGAATGGTTTCGATTTGCGCCGGTTTCGATTTGAGCAGCACATCCAAGTGTGAGATGCGAACGGAAGAAGCCCAGCTCTTGGAGTTTCTTCGCAGGCGTTTTCGGACCGACCACGAGTGATGTCTGTGTTCCACGGTGCGTGCTCAGCCGCGAGTGATGTCGGCAGCCCGTTGGACTGCTGACGAAGTGCTGCATCGTTCACCTGAACCGTCGAGGGAAGGCTACAAGATGGCGGACGAACACAGCACCTGCAGAGAAATTAGATGGTAGAGATGGCACAAAGCTTTACATGAAGCAACACTTCTTGATGTAAATGTGCAGAGGATGTGAGGACCAATGCAGATGTGTGTCTTCTTTTGGCCTATCGCCTATTGCCACGACCACATGCGCAGTCTTGGTTCAGTTCTAACAAATCAACTCACCCTCCGAAGCCTCCAAAGTTTGGGTGCGAAGCGCTCGTCTGCGCTTGTGGCATCTGCAGTGTCGGTAGGGCAGTCTCGGTAGCACTCACCTTATTGTAATGGCCTCCAACCTACTAGCGATGGCATCCAACCTGCAAACGAGTCACAATCGAAAAGAACAGTGGCGACAATTGGAGAGTGTTTTTTTGACTTTTGAAGACTTTAGACGAAACATCACCAGATTCCCTTCTCCTCTCACCAGATTCCCTTTGATCCATCTTTTTTCCGGCTTTTTATCCACCCGGCTCAAACCGAAAACGCTCACTGGCACGGTTCCGCGACGCGCTCGCGCGAGCTTCGCGCGACGAGCTTCGCGCGCGAACCGGCGCGGTGGGACTGTTTCACATGGAGAGGATCGATCGCGGAGGTCGCTGACAAGGCAAGAGCTGCCTTCTGGGATCGCATGAGACTTGGAGAGGAGGGACTAGACTGAGAACTGTTTGAGGGAGGAGTGGGATGGAGTGGGATGGTGAGTGGAGTCAGAAAGCAATCTGTTTGGGTTTCTGTGAATGCTCTGAAATCATGCAGAGAATGGTTTTTGCGAGACCCAGAAACGCAATGACCAACATGTCACAGGCAGCTGTGTCACAGGCAGCTGTTTTGTGAGGGTTGAGGTGTGAGGGCTGAGTGAAAGAGTTAAAG